TCCATGGATGAGTGCAGTTCCAAATGAAAATCAAGAAGCTCAATAATATCCAGGGCAAAGCAGTCTGACTGACAGGCACCCTATTCAATGCTTTAAACATTAACTCCCTCCACCATCATCACAATGTGATTGTTCTATGTACCATATAAAAAATAACACTTTGGCAATTTTCAAATGGTTTTTCAACAGCAGGTCCAAACTCAAGGCTTTTGTTACCTATATGAACAACAGCAGGTGGCTGGGAAAATCACCACATCCAAACATTCCTCCAAGCTCAACAAACCTCTGACTTGGAAATATATTGATCTTCCTTCATTAATGCTGGATCAAAATCTTATACTTTCTGAAGAATAGCTTTGTGGGAGTCCTTTCATTACATGTACTGCAGTGCTTCACAAAGGTTCCTGGTCACTTGCACCAGAGATGGTGCATAAACTCTCCCTTTAACAGCACTGTCCATATCTTGTGAATAAACAAAATGAAAAGCAAAATCATTGAAATGTGGACCTTATCTTTGGCCTTAAATAAAAGATAGTGAGCTGGAAGATCAGCCATTATCATACTGAAAGGCAGAGCAAACTCAATTAGCCAAATGACCTCCTCCTGCTCCTATTTTCCATGTATCTTATGTGCAGTGTGAGTTGCGATAATCTCAGATTTAGAACATGACATATTCATAAACATATCTTCTCAAGTCCAAGAAAAACAAATAATGATTGCTGTACTTGGAATTATGTTTTGTTTTTCTTTTGTGTTGTTACAGATCTTTTGTCTGGCATAAGCTTTGTCGGTTGCTGCACAATCAAATAATGAATTACTTGCTGATCAATGCATCAAACATTTAGAACATCAACAGTCTACATGCTTTCCACACAGTGATAGTCTGTCAACGCATAAAAAAGGGGATAAGAGATACTTGGAAAGCTGGTAAAATATTGGCTTCTCTCAAGTGAAAAGTTCTTGGCAGTAGTACTGGTGAGAAAAATGATATCCACTTTGATTGGAATACAAGCAAGCTATGCCTATGTGTTGTGAACAGGTTCACATTAGGTCAAGCTGAGGATTACAGCATGGTTTAAAATGCTATCGATAACTTGTGAAATCATTAAGCTGGAGAGGGTTCAAAAAGATTTACCAAGAAGTTGTTGGGAATGGAGAGTTTGAATTATAAGGAGAGGTTGGATAGGCTGGGACTTTTCACTGGAGTGTAGGAGATTGAGGGATGATGAGGGGTGATGTTATAGAGGTTTATAAAATCATGAGGGGTATGGATAAGGTGAATGGCAGGTGTATTTTCCCTAGGGTGAGGGATTTCAAAACGAGGGGGCATATTTTTAAGATGAGAGGAGAAAGATTCAAAAAAGACAGAAGGGACAACTTTTTTTGACACAGAGTGGTTCATGTGCGGACTGAATTTCCACAAGTGGTGGATACGGGTATAGTTACAACGTTTAAAAAACATTTGGACAACTACATGAATGAGAAATATTTGGAGGGATCTGGGCCAACTCAGGCAGGTGGGACTAGTTTAGTTTGAGATTATGGTCGGCATAGACTGGTTGGTCCAAAGGGTCTGTTTCTGTGCCGTATGATCTATGATTTTAAATGATGCACCATTTATAGACCTAGGCCAGACACAATCTGATGGAATAACATTTATGATTTATTAACAATCTGCCATGTCAGATCATACAATGAAGACAACTCTACACTGCTGGGTCACTGAAGTAAAATATCAACTTAGTTTTAAAGGAAAGAGTATCTTTTCTCTGATGACTTTACCAACATACCCTGGTACTAAATACGGATGCAATAGAAAGAAAGCCATTCTTTTATGTAATTGCTTTTTTTCTTCAACTGCTCTTTCTGGGCATTCCCTTCACTTTACACACACTAACTTCAACCAAAAGCTGGACAGGTGCCACCACTCAAAGATTTCATCAATTCTAATTTGGAAAAAAATGGCACCAGGAGATATATTAAATACTATATTCCCCCTGATTTCCTCTCTTCTGTGGAGTTACACCAACAATTCGCTTTTCTGAACCCTCTCCAATTTAATAACATTCTTCCTATAACAAGGCAAACAGAACTGTACACAGTACTGCAGAAGAGACCTTACCAACATTCTGTACAACTTCAACATGATGTCCCGACTCCTTTAATCAATGGTCTGAGTAACACCTTCTTAACCACCCTGTCTATCTGTGATGCAACTTTCAAAGAACAATGTTCCTGAACCCCTAGGTCTCTCTGATCGATAACACTACCCAGGGCCCTACCTTTAACTGTATTGGCCCTGCCCTTGTTTGTTTTACTGAGAGGCTGAAAGGCTTATTCCTATTCCTATCTTTCACCCAATATTCCTGCTCATTATACAGCAATATTGTGCAGCATTAACATATTACATTAGAAAAGGCATGTGTTTTTTCTTATTCTCATCAAGCATTGCATTCTTTTTATTCACCATTCATTTAAGCATTGAGCACTGCTCAGGTGGACACAAAAAAATCCCACAACAATATTCAAAGCAGAGCAAGGGAAACCTCCAATTTCCTTACCAACATTTATCACTTACCACCACTGGGGGAAAAAAGAATTTCTGCCATTTATCTCATGCTTCTCATTACTTTTAGTAGAACTTTGCAGAGGATAAAATAGCCAGTGCACTTTGGCTACAAAACTGCAATTCAAAAATAATGCATTGACAGTGGCACATGTGGAAACAACTTAATAATATGAAATACCATCATAATTGACATCAACAACTTCAAAATGGGATTAGTACACTTATTATCCACTGCAGGCCATCATTGCTGTTGTTGTTGTCATTTTTACAATGGTCATTGCTGGCTATTTTAATCACCTACCTGCATGACACGGCAGGTCCCACTTAATATACACATGGAGGTTGTTACGCAGTACCTGGATTTCTAGTGTAGGACAGAACTGGTTGAATCATGCACGGTTCATACACTGCTTACATGCTGGCAATGCCACTGAAGATTAGTCAAAAAGTAAGTTTTTAATTACTTCTGTAAGGCCTTCAGAAAAGGAATTTAATCTGCTGATTCCCTGGATTCCTGGTTTATGGCTAGGAATCTATCTTACCATGTCCATCTTACCTTGCTTCCAACTGTGAAGTCTCAGGGATGTCTGATATTGCATGGGTCTGAATCTAGCAACTTGAACTAGCCACTGTTTCACACACACAACATACCAGTCATATTTAATTGAGGCTTGGACCTCAAAAAAACACGCTAGCGTCCTTCCTGCTCTAATGGGGGTGTAGTTGCCTGAAAGTTAAAATCTGCCATTTTAAATTCAATTTTCTGTGTTAACTCTCTGTTTCAGGAAACCAAAAGGCATAAAATATGTAAATTACAATTTCAAAAGTGAGGATATTCTAACATTTAATAAATGTTAAGTTATTTTGGGTTAGTCTAGAGCTTGTTATAATGATAATTTGCATTGTTAACATGACACTTAGAGGAGAATATATTGAAAGTAGAATTAGCGTGACTGCAAATAAATTTTACACACACTTTCATGGAGAATACCCATTCACTGTTGCACACAAGCTGAGAAGCTCTTCTGCAAGTGTAAATGCTACGATTATTTTTGCTTCACATAAATGGGAGATGTTGATGTGTGTCTGCTGTCTACTTGGTATTATCCTCTCCACGCTATAATTAACCACTACAATGACTACTCATTGGAATGCCCAGTAATGATAAATGGTAGCATGATGACAGATGTTTGCCTCCTACTGGAGGTGCAAAGTGAATCTTGAAGCAACCCCACATAAATTTTATATGGCCATTTTGCCTTGAGTCCACAATGTACATGCACCTATTCAAAGGCTGGGGTCCATGATTTGAGTACCATAGGAATACTGCACTTGGTAATACAGAACCTGGTTGGAGTCTTGCACTCATCAGTAAAGATGCAAAAAAAAAATCAAATTTCAATGGGAACAATAATTTATATTGCATGAGTGAAATGTTTGGTGATTGCTGGTAAGTAGACTCTAAATGTTTGAGGCATTACCATAGCAGTAGCACCAGGGAACACAGGTCCCTCCAAGGTTTACTTTAAATTGAGATAGGTACAATGTCTGCACAGCGAGTCACAGCGTCAAAAGGACATGGCCTTCTGTACATAGCTTCTACACACGTGAGCCACATTGCGAGCTCAACAGGCAGTCTTAAACTGGTTGTTTTAATTCTTAGCCCACTCTGGATTGTTGAATCCAGGTGCAATCATATATAATTTTGGGCACTATGTTCTGAATTTTGCAAGGACAGGCTGGTTGAATGTAGCCAGTATGCTATCTGTGGCAAACAACCAAAAGGTGGTACTGTTTGCTATAATTCTCCAGTTGTTGGTAAATGCAGCGTATATGCCTGGCATTATAACACATGTACAACATTACTTATCCAAGAAGTAGGCAGAATGTCTTTTGTCTTGACAGTAGCATGAAGTTATGAAGAAAAGCACTTGTTTTGCCACTACATTGTAGCAGCGTTTTATTTGTTACTCAAGTTTTTGGGCCACCTTACCCTTAGCATATCTTAGGAAGAATGAGCACTTTTCAAGAAAGAAACAGCCAGCCTTAGGCTCTTGTGCAATAGAATGAGTAGTGAACTGATCGAGTAGCCATATGATAGCTTCAACGTTTCCTATTATGGCATCAAGTGAGCAAATGTTTTGGACCCTATTGAAAAGGCTGCAAGCAAGGCTAATCTTACAGTTTTAACAAATTTACAACTACGGTAAAGAGTACAAAATTCACCTCAGAATCTCATAGCCATCTTCATTGAAACTGTTGACAGAGAAAATTTCTTTCTTAACCCTGAAATCCACTCCCACTGCAATACTTAACCAATTGTGAGCTGTAGAAAGAAAAGCTGGGAGGCATCCGGAATAAGATCAATCAATCAATCAATAACACAGACTTAGCGTTCCTTTAAATTAAAGTGAACAGTTGAAATGCTTACTATTTCACTGAGAGTTTTCAATGAATCTTTGAGATTGTCACTGGAGTGTTGCCTTGCTGCAGTTAGCAGAAGCTCTGCGTTGCTCAATATGAGTGGTTGAAGTTTATAAATGTTGGTTATCACTTCTTTTGCTTTGGTCGTGTCTTCAGGTGAGTAGTAGATATACTGGTATGCTGAACTAGAGAAAGCAAAACAGAAAACATGATGCACACCAATTCAAACCAAGATTGGAGCAGGAAAAAAAAAAATAACACTTTCACTAACCATGAATAAAACAACGTAACTTTTTTTAAAAAAACTGACAACCTAAATTTTCTCCCCTCGTTTCCTGAGGAGGCTCATGCAGGAGGATTGCTGCTCAAGATCTGTGCCATGTTGAACTGGACATTCTAGTCTCCACGTGATCTGTTGAGCTGTTACTGTGCAGTTTTGCACATTAAAGTCATTTTTTGAAAAGGGAATGCCGTCTTTTGCAGTTTGCTCACTTCACATAATCTTTGCATATGAATGCTAGTAAGGCTACAATAAATTCTCACAAGCAGATTGGCAAATATCACTTAATCAAGTCACTTATCAGAGCGACCACAACACTTGAGCTCAACTCTCCCCTCGTCTGACATGCACACATGGTTTTCAACATGAGTCATTGGATAATAATTAGAAATGGCAATCTTCACTGATTTTCCCTTCTTTAAACATGAATTCTGATTTTATAATTTACAACTGATGAGTTAACAGCAAATGTGTTACAAACTGCCATTTAACACAATGGCCCAGATTTTGCAGATAAAATAATCAAGGAAGATGGAAATTGGACAGCAACTTCCTCCATGCAACACACATTTCCTCTCTCCATGACTCCAAAGATCACCCTGATGAAGGCACAGATGTATTTCTGGCAGACTTAATTCTTTCATACATTCTCTAGGTCTAGGCAAGTGTGACACATTATAGTCTTAATTTTGTTTTATTATTTCCATTTTGTCTCTTTCTTGAATGTGTTAACTCATACTAATGTATGGTTTTCAATCTATAGCATTCCTCTGGCAACTTATTCAATTTACTGGCCTTTACATGTGAGTCTTCATAAAAGTGACAGTGGACTACTCAAACCTGATAATAATTAACTAGCCCACACTCATCTGATTAAATGAAATACTGAAGCTCTAGTTATGAGGAACTGTTATTTCATGAAGGCCTATTTCTCCCTCCGGTTTTCTACAGTATCATCAGATCAAGAGGTAAACACTGAGTAAAGATAGATGGTGTCCTCACTGGGTCTTTTGGAAAGTGGCGGTACAAATCAAAACACGTGTCAAACGTTTGGAGAAATTTGAGCTGACAAAATCTAATATTAAGTTGAATGATGAGTAAGCTTATTTTTATTTTCTAAATTCTAAAAGTTTTGATTATTTATTACATGCACATTCATCAGGAGGAATAAGGTCAGTTTACTTCTATCTTCATGGCAACATCCTTGCTTCTAGACACTGGTACTTGCTTGATTACATATGACTACAAGAGATAGACCATAAGGATAGATGCATCACTTGTGCCAAGATGGAAGTTGCCAATTGGTGAAATCACCATTGCTTGAAGGAAACGAAGCACTTCTAGAGACCAATGAAGGCTGAAGTCCAATTAAAGAATTATGACCCAGAATAGACAGTAAGTGGAAAGGACACAGGATGAGGTTCATCAACTTGCTGGCAACCATGACATGTGTGGATTCTGCAGCACTGTCAAGACCATTTCTGGCCCAAGCACCTAAGGACCTACCGACCTATTGACTGAGAAGTGAGAACAGAGTGATACCTATCAAAGACAAAGAGGCAGTCAGTGCTAGATGGAAGGAGCACTTTGAGGCTTTCCTCAATAAAGATTCAATTCCTGAACTGGGTGCCGTTGACTTCATCCAAGAGAATTCTACCCTCCACCACCCCAGCACATCCCTAGCCCGATGTGGGGTTGAAAAGGCCAGTCTACAGTTGAGAACCAACGAGGCTGCTGGTGCACCCCTACTGAAACACTGAAATATAGCAGAGAAGCAGTCTTGGTATGGATATTGCATCTTAGTTCCCACATTAGAATTTTCCGTGCAACTGAATCCCCCACCCACTATTTAGTTTAAAGCCCTACCCACAGCCCTAATTATGCTATTTACAAGGACTCTGACCCCAGCATGATTCAAGTGGAGGCCATCCGTCGGCACAGTTCCTCCTTCCCTGGTACTGATGCCAATGTCCCATGAATTCAAACCCGTTTCTCCCACATCAATCTTTGACCCACACGTTTACCTCTTTAACTTGTTGACCCTGTACCAATCTGCTTGTGGTTCAGGTAGTAATTCAGACAGTATTACCTTTTTGGTTCTGTTTTTTTTAATTTAGCCCCTAACTGCTCATATTCCCTCAGCAGACTCTCTTTCCTCTATGTATATTGTTGGCACCAATGTGGACCATGAGAATTGGATCTTTCACCTCCCACTCTAAGTGCCTCTGCAGCCCAGATGAGATATCCTGAACCCTGGCACCAGAAAAGCAATACACACTTTGGGATTCTCGATATTGGCCACAGAAAACAGTATCTATTCCCTTCTCTGTACCATCCCTGTGTTCAACCACATTTTTCTTTTCTCCCCCCATCTTGAATAGCTTCCTGTACCACAGTGCTACAGTCCATTTGCTCATCCTTCCTATGTAACTGCCCATCCCACCCAAACCCCGCTCTCATGCACACATGGAGCAAGAATCTCAAACCTATTCAACAAGCTCAAGCGCTGAGGCTCCTTCAGCACTATCTCATGGATCCCTGTACCTGCCTCTCTCATAGTCACACCTTCTTGACCCTGACCACTGACCGTATTTGAGGCAGTTAATCCAAGGATGTGACTGCCTCCTGAAACATAGCATCCAGGTAACTCTCCCCCTCTCTGCTGTGTCGCAGTGTTGGAAGGGCAGATTCCAGGTCACCAACTTTGAGCCAGAGTTCCTCAAGCAACCAACACTTGTTACAGGTGTGGTCTCTTTGAACCACATAAGGTCCACCAGCTCCCACATCATGCAGTTACAACACATTGCCTGGCTCAGCATCTCTGTTTTAATTACTTAGTTCTTGATGTGCTTTTAAAAACTTCATACTGGTCTTCTAGTTTATTGCCCGCAAGTATTTCCCCTATTTACCTTCAATCCAAAAGTAATTTACAATAAAGATAAACAAATTAGTAACTATCACCAACTAATGAACCTATGATTTACCTATGATGTCACCTGTTTAGTCATCTCACGACCCACAAATTCAGAGTGGAAGGCATTCTCAGTCCCAAGGGACTGCCTAGGAAGATAACTTTCCAAAGTACTTTGATTTTGTGTCAGGAATAGTAGCCATCATCTGAAACGTGGTATCAGAGGTGTAAAGCTGAGATTGTTGGAGCTGCAGGAAAACAGCATGGAAGGACAAAAATACAGTCTGCAACCTCAAAGTTCTAAATGAGTCACATGACTGAGAATTTTCTACTTGTAGCTATTTTTAAAAAGAAAGGAGACATGGGACAAAATCGGTATTATTTTCACCCCCAGTGGCAAACTATAAACTAACTACATATTAGCAAAAGGACTGACAAAATAAAGTTAGTGACCATGTCATCAATGCCTGGGAATGAGTGCTGCAAGTTGTTTTGTACCCTAGACCTCACAGAGGAGTAGAAAAGCCAGATGGAGTACATTTTGAAAGTTTTAAAGACACTTTTTGAACTCCATATTAATGTTACCTGAAGTAACCCCATAGAGGCAGGTATCCCATCACTAGGTCACTCTTTATTTACACATGGAAAGTCCTTGACACTGATCAAGCTATTTCAGAGCCAGCTCTCAGCTGGAACAGAAGCTCTGACACTCATGTTTATATCTGTCAGCCAGGGCTCCTTGATTCTATGAGGTCCACCTGGCTGACCTCATTACAATCACTACATCCCTCTCCCTCCGAGTCCGAGAACATTGGCCAGATTCTCTTTTTGTAGCTCCTCCTGGGCGTTTTAGTACTGGGTCAGGTTCCTCCAACTTTGCCTCTGATACGGGCAGTGTGTAACGCACAGTAGTTTGCCGCTTCTGCCTGAAATGTCTTGGAAGAAATTCATTCTCCTCTTCAGGTGGCACCCAACGTGTCCATCTCAGATTCCGAGGTATCTTCATGCTTGACGGAGAGGGAGAACCCAAGGGTTCCAGAACAGTTGGAAAGGCAGTCAAGGAAGCGGGTGTGTTTTGCTCCTGCACCGTTTACAAGTTTGCAGCGTTCATTCGGTCCATGTGCTCGTTCAGGACTGTCGCACCTACTTGAACTTTATACATCACTGGACCTGACTTTGCATTGACCATGCCTCTTACCCATGCAGGGTTATTCCCATGGTACCTACACCAAACTTCGTCCCCTGAAGTAAACTGTCTTTCTCGCTTAGTGGAGTCTTGTACCCAGAATTTACGTTCCTGATGCCATTTCACTCTTCCCCCACCATTTCACTCTTCCCCCACTCAACCAGGTCTGGGAAGATCAGATTTAATCTGGAATTAGCAACTCTGCTGGACGTATCCCTGTAGTTGCATGAAAGGTGGTCCTATAATCAAATAGGAACCGGGACAGTTTGGTATCTAGTGAAGTTGCAGACTGTTTCTTTTTAAGCCTGCCATAAAAGTTTGGACTGCTCTTTCTGCCAGACCATTGGATGACAGATGATATGGAGCTGTCCTTATATTTCCACTTAAGGAAATACCCTAATTCCTTGCTGGCAAACAAGGGCCCATTTTCTATGACCTACACTTCCAGGAATTTGTGTATTGCAAAACATACGCATGTCCCCATGTTTGACAGATGGGCTCTGAGCACGTCCAGCCACTTTGAGTGGGCATCCACAATGACTCAGGACATTAAGCCCATGACAGGTGCTGCCCGTTCCGCAAACTGGACTAGTTTGATGATTCTTTCACTTATCAGACTTTTGATTTCTGCCTCTAGTTTTACCCACAAGGCAAATGGCACTGGATGGACCCTGCAGAATTGTGGGATTGCTTCTTGGTCAACATTAAGATGGCCTTGGCTTCTTTGATAGTCCCTAGACCTTCCTGAAAAGCTTCCAGTATTTAATTAGAACTTCACTCAAGCAGCTACTTTCTAATCGAAAAATGT